GTTTGATTTCTGTGAAACTGCTTTCCATGCTGGCTGCACCATTTTACACTCTTACCAACAGTGCACAAGGGTTCCAATTTCTCCACAACCTCACTAATACCTGTTCTGTTGTTTTGATAGTAGCCATCCTAATGGGTGTGACTTATATCTCCCCGCAGTTTGGATTTGCCTTTAAGTAAAGATTAGTGATGCTGGGCATCTTTTCCTGTGCTTATCAGTTAGCCATTTGTATATCAAAGTACTTCAACTCAAGTACTTTGCCCATTTTTTAACTGGTTCTTTTTTCTTGTTGTTGTTGCTGAGTTGCAGCAAAGTGTTTTACATGCATTTACTTCTTTCTTCCCACATGTCACTCCCTAGAAGGAGTGACATCCTCCGGGGCACCTCAGGCACTCTCAGATGATAAATGAAGTCTGCAATGGTAGCTAGAGACAAGAAGTACACAAACAGGAAGGAGGGAGGGGAAGGCCAGCCAAGGAGATAAAACAAACAGGCTCCAGTTCTCTCAGTCCAGTTCATATTAAATTAGCTACAAATTATCAGTGCCTCAAATCCAAAGACAAACTGATTTCATATAAATTTCATCCTTGAGCTTCACAAGGGGAGTGGGTCTTTTGCACACTCTAGAGGCACCCTTCCAACCCCCCCAACAATGGAACAGTAGCAACAAAGACCAGAAGAAATAAGAAAAGGTCTGAGAGGCTCGGGAAGATGTTAGATCCTGTGCAAACAGCCTTTTGGAAGGAGAAACAGAGACAGTGCTTGCTCTCCCACCACATTCTTCAGAGGTGGAGTCTTAGAACCACAGTGTAATAAGGAAGTTGATGGCAACAAAACAACTGAGGCCATGATAAAAAGTTGTGCAGAAGTGCTCGCTTTGGCAGCACATATACTAAAATTGCAACGATACAGAGAAGATTAGCATGTCCCCTGCGCAAGGATGACATGCAAATTCGTGAAGAGTCCCATATTTTTAAACAAACAAGTTAAGGGCAAGATTCTTGCCAAGAGAATTAATGCGCATATTGAGCACATCAAGCACTCTAAGAGCCGAGATAGCTTCCTGAAACATGTGAAGGAAAATGATCAGAAAAAGAAAGAAGCCAAAGAGAAAGGTACCTGGGCTCAACTGAAGCGCCAGCCTGCTCCACCCAGAGAAGCACACTTTGTGAGAACCAATGGGAAGGAGCCTGAGCTGCTGGAACCTATTCCCTATGAATTCATTCAAAAATAATAATAGTTGTTTAAAAAAAAAAAAAATGACCTCTGGAGTGTAAAAAAAAAAAAAAAAAAAAAAAGTTGTGCAGAAGACATGTGAGAGTGAAATCACAGACCTCTAGAAAATGTAACCAGGGACCTTAGTTTTAAAAATTACCCACTTTTCCAGCCTGGGCAACATAGTGAAACCATGTCTTTACAAAAAAAATACAAAAATTAGCCAGACGTGGTGGTGTGCCCCTGTAGTCCCAGCTACTTGGGAGGCTGAGATGGGAGCATTGCTTGAACCTGGGAAGTCAAGGTTGCAGTAAGCTGAGATTGCACCACTGCATTCCAACCTGGGTGATAAAGAGAGAGCCTGTCTCAAGAAAACAAAAAAACAAAATACCTACTTTTTTTTTTTTTGAGAGGGAGTCTTGCTGTGTTGCCCCAGCTAGAGTGCAGTGGCATGATCTCAGTTCACTGCAGCCTCTGCCTCCTGGGTTCAAGCAATTCTCCTGCCTCAGCCTCCCAAGCAGCTGGGACTACAGGCACACACCACCACACCCAGCTAATTTTTTGTACCTTTAGTAGAGGTGGGGTTTCACCATATTGGCCAGGCTGGTCTCAAACTCCTGACCTCTTGATCCACCTCCCTTGGCCTCCCAAAGTGCTGGGATTATAGGCATGAGCCACCGTGCCCAGCCCTTCTTTTTTTTTTTTTTTAATTTTAGTTTTTAGTTCTAGGGTACATGTGCAGGATATGCAGATTTGTTACATAGGTAAATGTGTGCCATGGTGGTTTGCTGCACCTATTAACCCATCACCTAGGTATTAATTCCTGCATGCATTAGCTATTTTTCCTAATACTCTCCCCACTACTGCACTCCCCTAACAGGCCCAGGGTGTGTTGTTCCCCTCCGTGTGTCCATGTGTTCTCATTGTTCAGCTCCCACTTACAAGTGAGAACATGCAGTGTTTGGTTTTCTGTTCCTGTGTTAGTTTGCTGAGGATAATGGCTTCCAGCTTCATCCATGTCTCTGCAAAGGACATGATCTCATTCCTTCCTACGGCTGTTTAGTGTTCCATGGTGTATACATACCACATTTTCTTTATTCGGTCTATGGTTGATGGGCATTTGGGTTGATTCCACATCTTTGCTATTGAAAGACTCACTTTCTTTTTCTTCCTTCCTTCCCCTCTCATCTCTTCCTTTTTGTCCCCTGTGGACACTCCCTCTGGCTATGCGTGCTAAGGTGATGTCATTATGCTCTTGCTTAAAAAATCCCAGAGGCTAATCTTGAAACCAGGCATAGAGTCCCCTTTTTGGAATCCTGTTTAGGGGGAGTAACTAACAATTTGTCCACCACCATCAGGCCAAAATCAAGATTACACCAGCCAGACCTCAGAGCAGGCAATTAGCCCAGTTAGCCAAGACAGCCATCAGAACAAGACACACAGATACACAGATACTGCACCCTGCACCGCTCCCGCATGTCTCCCACACCAAGTTTCCCTTTAAAAACCCAATGGTAAGTGTTAAAATTTAAGATGGTCCTTTAGAACGCTAGTTCACCTCTTATGTTTGTTTCTTTTTTTCTTTTTTTTTTTTTTTTTTGAGATGGAGTCTTGCTCTGTTGCCCAGGGCAGAGCGCAGTGGTGATCTCGGCTCACTGCAACGTCTGTCACCTGGGTTCAAGCAATTCTCCTGCCTCAGCCTCCTGCGTAGCTGGGATTACAGGCACCCACCACCACGCCCAGCTAAGTTTTGCATTTTTAGTAGAGAGGGGGTTTCACCATGTTGGCCAGGCTGGTCTTGAACTCCTCATCTCAGGTGATCCACCACCTCGGCCTCCCAAAGTGCTGGGATTACAGGCATGAGCCACTGCGCCCGGTGGTGCTTGGTGTTTGAATGCAGAGTAGAGCAGACAAACCTGGCTCCAGTTACAGAAAGGCAGTAATCTATGAGGCACTTTGTAAACATACTCGCTCCTCTAACGGTGATTGCAGTCCTGCCCCAGGTTCCTCCCCTTAACGTTAGAATAAGACTATAGCTTAGGACATGTGCTAAAAATGCAGGGTCATGGGCACCATCCTTGAGACATGGCCCCAGTAAGTCAAGGTGGGCCCACGAGCCTGCATCTTTATCCAGATGCCCACAAGGAAGGTGTTGCTGGTGGTCAGAGCCCACAATCTGAGCCATGCTGGCTACTGTCAGTGTCAAAGAGACTCCCCTGGGCTTTCCTCAGTGTGTGGAACAGTGGTCATAGACTCTGTTCCACCTTTTCCTCCTCAAATCCTGGAGAGGATTCCTGAGATTATGAACAGAAAAATCAGAGGGTGAGGACATATGTCCCATGACAACAGGATTCTTTCCTTCCCTAAAGAATTTGCTAAGAGATGCTCTTATTTTTCAGGAACTTGCCTGTGTTTGCCATGTTAAGCGTGCAAGGGAGCAGTCTGGCAGATGTTCAGGGGAGAGATAAGAGAGCATTTAAGAGCTGTGGTGAACTGTGCATTGCTGAGCCATGAAGATAAAATGGGAACCACAAGCTAAAGTTACAAACAGAATAGGATTTGACTTATATACTTGTCAAGAACACGTCCATTTGTAATTGAAATAATAACGACAGTCTTGTCTAGACATGGTGGCTCACGCCTATAATCCCAGCACTTTGAGAAGCAAGGTAGGAGGACTGCTTGAGCTCAGAGTTTGAGACCAACTTAGGTTAACATAGTAAGACCTCCTCTATCTCTACAAAAGTAAAAAAAAGAAAAGAAAAATTAGCCAGGTATGGTGCATGCCTGTGGTCTTGGCTACTTGGGAGGCTGAGCCATGACTGTGCCACTGTACTCCAGCCTGGGTGACAAGAGTGATACCCCATGTCAAAATAATAACAATAATAACGATAGTCTCATGAGCAAGTCCTTGTGCTAATTAGGCTTTATATGTTAATTCACTTAAAAATATATTCACATGGCCAGGCATGGTGGCTCATGCCTGT